CTATACGTTTTTTTTTTTTGATATATGCATTCATTGGGAATCGAACCAATGACAGTGTTGCAAGCGTCATGCTGTTTAAGCTACAGGAAGGCTATCGTATTTGGTCTGTATTGAAAGGTTTAGTTTAATTAAGGTTTAGTTAAAGGAGATTTTGAAGGACGATTTTGCTTCCTGAACCCAAATGTTGAGCTTTATTAACAAATAATAAAATGTTTTATATATTTATTAATAATGATTATATATTATATATATATAATTTATTTATTTGTATTTATTTATTTACCATGTTTATTTTATATTTATTTAAATTTTTTAATAAAAGTGCCACAAATCTCATTTTAAAAACTTGAATTTGTCACTTAAGTCGTTTATTTTCATGCACTTCTATCAGATTATCTGCTCTGAAACAGCCTACTTATAAAATATATTGTCATGAGGATATCACCATAATTACACTGGATTCAGAAGTTATTAGTCCTTATTGGCAACACTTAGTGCACATAGCGCTGAAATGAATAAATATTTTCATTGTTGATGACAGCAAAATACTTGAAAAATACTTGAAAAGTCTTATATTCTGAAAAGGGTTTCAAAATTAAGGGAGTTTAAGCTTAAAACAAGAAAAATATCTGTCAGTGTGGTCAGAAAAATAAACTAAATTCAAAGGGGAAATGGTTATTTTTTTTATCATTTTAAGCTTAAACTCACTTCATTTTTGATAGTTTTTCAGAAAACAAGACTTAATATCTATAATATAATTGTGCTCTTGATTCAAGAATATTTTGATGTTTTTACTGAAAAACAAGACAAAAATACTGAGTAAGTGGTTGAAAGCTACACACTGCAAAAATGACTTTCTTCATTTTTTTTTTTTTTCATAGTTTTTTTATTTAATTACTTAAAATAATTAGTCTTGTTTTGTGAAAAATGTGTCAAAATTAAGTGAGTTTATTCTTAAAACAAGAAAAAATAACTGCCAGTGGGGTCCGAAAAAATAAGCTAAATTAATTTTTCTGACCCCATTGGCATTTTTTTTCTTATTTTAAGCAAAAAATCATTTAATTTAGATACATTTTTCACAAAACAAGACTTAATATCCCATATAATTTTGCTTCTGAAGTAACTGTATCTTGAATTAAGAACGTTTAGATGTTTGTGCTGGAAACGAGACAAAAACACTACATAAGTGCTAGTTCTATTTTCTGCTAGTCGGCAATCATAATTCAGGTAATTCCAGCGTGACGTGAGCGCAGCATGAACTCATCCGCTGGCTGTGGCCTCCATCTTGGCTCCAGGTCTCCCAGTTTCCCCCTGATCCAGGACACAGTGTTGAAAGGCAAACTGAACGTGCCCGAGCTCAGAGTCACCCGGCTCATGAACCGCTCCATCTCCTGTACCATGAAGAACCCCAAGGGGGAGCTGTTTAGCTATCCTCCGAACAGCCAGGTCAGCATCCCGTCTTCCCCGACTGCACGCTTTCCTTTCCAAACACTCTCTTTGCTGCTTCTCCATACCGTAAAATTACATGTAATGTCCAATACAGTTTTTCACTGTTTATAGTAGGGGAATTTACCGTTAACCATTTAACAGGTTTTTACTGTAGCATTTTTACAGTCTTTTACCGTTAAATTCACGGTCATTTTTTTACAGTGTAAATACGGACCGTAAATCTCATAAAAGGTTATAATCCTTTAAGAGGATTAAAGCACCTGCCAAAAATTTACAGCTTTATTTTTAGTCTAAAAACTAAATAAAATTAAATTACAAATTAAATTGAAAATGATTAAATTAAATTAAATTAGTAATAAATAAAAAACAGAATTAATGCACACCTAAGGTGATAATATAACAAACTTTAATATGCATTAATGATGCAGAGGATTAAAGCCCCTGCCAAAAATGTACAGCTTTATTTTGAAGTTTAAAAATTAATTAAATTAATTAAAATTAAAAATTATTAAATTAAATTATACATTCAATTATAAATCAAGTTGTTAAATTAAATTAGAAATGAAAAAAAAAAAAACAGAATAAGTAACAGTCTACTAAATTATTGAAAATGAATGCACGTTTAAGGTGATAATATAACAAACTTTAATATGCATTAATGACGCACATGATTAAAGCATCTACCAAAAATGTACAGCTTTATTTTGAAGTTTAAAAATTAAATGAAATATTAAATTAAATTAGAAACAAAGAACAAACCAACAAAATAAGCAACAGTCCACTAAATTATTGAAAATGAATGCACACCAAAGGTGATAATATAACTAACTTGAATATGCATTAATTTTCAAGAATTCTGTGGTCTGGAATCATTTCTTTTGTTTTTACCACACAAGGTTGACCGCTTGTACGTGTGTTTATCTTAAGAAATGGTTCAGGTTTTCATTCTTAAAAGGCTCTCATTTCTTAAATCTCTTTAAACTACATATAAAATATTTTGCTTAAAACCGCATTTATTAGTTCAAAAGGAACATGACGGAGTGATGTGCGACTGTAATGTAGTAAACAAACCTGTGATTACTTTATAGCTGAGCTGTTATTACAGTAATGAGGTTCAAGAGGCCATGCTATAGACTTATATAACAGCACAGCTATATTTAGAACACATTCACATTCATTCAAATGTGATTTAGTGAAACGTGATGTACATAGTAGCTGTTTGACATCATTGCTGTTTGGGGTTAGTAAGATTTTTATTTTATTTTTTCAGCAAGGATGCATTAAATTGATCAAAAAAAAAAAAATCAAAAAAATTTAGCAAATCAGCATATTAGAATGATTTCTAAAGATCATGTGACACTGAAGACTGGAGTAATGATGCTGAAAATACAGCTTTGATCACAGAAATAAATTACAGTTTAACAGATATTCACATAGAAAATAGCTATTTTAAATTCTAATAATATTTCAAATTTTTACAGTATTTTTGATCAAATAAATGCAGCCGTGGTGAGCATAAGCATTAAAAAAATCTTAGTGTGTGTTGTGTGTATTTTTAGCCCAACTGGAACACTGGATTAACCAATCAGCATCTAGAATTGGAGCGATACTTAATTGAGTTCTTTGCAATATGTGTCAACCAATTAAACAATGCTGTGTCCTAATGCATTTTCCAGTTAGTCTTTTCGCTCATAACTGCAGTCATCATCATCATATTACACAACAGCTTCATGATTCGCTCTGTTTCCTCTGTTGATTGCGCTGCGACTCTCTTTGATCTTCCTGTGACAGAGGATCCCATCAGCTCAGCGTTTCTTCTGATTATCATCTCCATCTTTCCTCTGTTAGATAATGAAATACTCTGAGCAGCGCATCCCCACTCTGAACGAATACTGCGTGGTGTGTGACGAGCAGCACGTCTTCCAGAACGGATCCATGCTGAAGGTGAGCGTCAGCTTTTGCTCACGACTGAAGCTGGGTTCTTTGCTCTGATTGGTCGGTTTCTTCCCGGCAGCCTGCGGTTTGCACGAGAGAGCTGTGTGTGTTTTCCTTCTACACGCTGGGAGTGATGTCTGGAGCGGCTGAGGAGGTGGCCACCGGCGCTGAGGTGCGTTCATTCATTCATTCATCCCGTGTCCTGAGGTGTAGTGTTTGTGGAGTTAATGATATGTGATGTTCATCTTCAGGTGGTGGACCTGCTGGTGGCCATGTGTCGCGCCGCTCTCGAGTCGCCCCGTAAAAGCATCATCTTTGAGCCGTATCCGTCTGTGGTCGACCCCAATGACCCCAAAACACTCGCCTTTAACCCGAAGGTGACCGTCTCTACTTGCACTCAGATGAAGTGTATTGTTTGTTCTGTAAAGGCTGGAATACAGATTCAGCATCACATACACGACTGTACAAAAGTCTTAGGCCTCTAGTATTTTCACCAACAAAAAAATGGTTTTAAGTCAGTTATTTCTGTATTTTGCTGTAGTGTGTCAGTAGGAAATATCAGTTTACATTTCCAAACATTGCTTTCGCCATTAATTGTAATAATCCAGTGAGATTTTTGTATTTTTGTATTTTGTCGTCTTTTTCAGTGCGATTATCTAAACATTCTTAAACCAAGATACGTTTACTTGAGAAACGAAATGGCTTAAGATGGCTTGTTTCCTGATAAAGATGATCAGAATTTATAATTAATCTTCAGGTTGTGTCATTTTAACCCAGAGAGGATTTTTTTTCATGAAAATGCTACTTAATGTTGCATCAGAGTGAAACTTACTGACTTTGCTCACACTGGATACAACAGCAAACATTTTTTATAATGTTTGTACTTTTTTAGTGCTTGTGGTGTTCCTGGTCAAAAACAGCTGTTTAATCTCTTATTATGCTTTTCCAAATCCAGTTTTGAATCCAAGATTTGGTGATAATATAGCATAATGGAAAAGACAAAAACAAAATAAGACAAAATACTGAGTAAGAAGAAATTTTTTTTGCAGTGTATTAAGATTTATATCAACTTAACTTCAACTTTAACCAGGATCAAATCTCTCCTTCTTTGTCTCTGTGTGTGTGTGTGTGTGTGTGTGTGTGTTTGTCTGTGAGTGTGTGTGTGTGTGTGTCTGTGTCTGTGTGTGTGATTATTGTATTGCTCCTGTGCCGAACAGAAGAAGAATTATGAGCGTCTGCAGAAAGCTCTAGACAGTGTGATGTCTATTCGGGAAATGACACAGGTAAAGCGGCGGAAAGCAACATTAACAAATGTGTTCATTAATATTTCAGGATATATCTGGTTTTATTGTCCAGATTTGTTTTTTGAGGAACTGTTAGAAAGCCTTTCAGTCAGTCAATGATTTAAGCAATGATGCTTAAATATTTATAAAATATAATTCCCACCGTTCATATGGAAATCATGCAAAGACTAAATTAAATTACGTATGAAAATATAATATATATATGATATTGATAAATGAGTTATCAGAAACTATTTGTATTATCAGGGCTCATATCTGGAGATTAAGAAGCAGATGGATAAACTGGATCCTCTGGCTCATCCGTTATTGCAGTGGTGAGTTAAAAAGCAACAGGCCGGGCTTTACAGTGATTTTACCACAGTAAGTGTGTTTAGGCCTTTCTGGTGGTTTATTGCTTCATCTGTCTCTCTCTGCAGGATTATATCCAGTAACAGATCTCATATTGTGAAGCTGCCGCTCAGTAGGGTAAGATGAACACTTTTAAATGCAAGAACAGCTTTCCTTTCATAAGCTTTTGTCATTACTTTTGTATTTTTATTTATTTTTTTGCTGTGTATAGCAGCTGAAGTTCATGCACACGTCTCATCAGTTTCTGCTGTTGAGCAGCCCGCCAGCAAAAGAAGCTCGATTTCGCACCGCAAAGAAACTCTACGGCAGCACCTTCGCCTTCCAGTGAGTCTCGGTGACCTGCAGAAACACACGCGCGCACAGCACAGAGAATCAGTCTCTCGTCAGAGCCGATCACACGACGCAATGAACCACAACGCTTCGTTATAATTAACAAAACTCTCTGCACTGAATATTTGGTGTGGACTTTTTGTTAATGTTTTTATTTTGATCAAATAAATGCAGCCGGACAAAAACCAAAATAACAAACTAGAACGCCTCCATTATAATAAAAAAACTGTCTGCAGTAAATGCAAGTGATGCAGTGCGACAAACTATTTGATTACAAACTACATTTTAATTGCAAACTACATTTTGATTACAAACTACATTTTAATTGCAAACTACATTTTAATTACAAACTACATTTTAATTGCAAACTACATTTTAATTGCAAACTACATTTTAATTACAAACTACATTTTAATTGCAAACTACATTTTAATTACAAACTACATTTTAATTGCAAACTACATTTTAATTACAAACTACATTTTAATTGCAAACTACATTTTGATTACAAACTACATTTTAATTGCAAACTACATTTTGCTTTATTGAATATAATGTAGCGACTATATTTTTTCCCTCTACAGTTTTGAGCTAAAGATCATTGCTTACAAAATCAAGACAATAAAAAACTGATTTGATTGCATTTTGCATGAATAGCGTAGAAATTGGGATCCCAAATCCTCTTTTCTATTGAGATTTAGGTTCAATTTAGTTCATTTTAGAAAGAAATATGAATTGTAGGTTAAGAACAAAAATGTGATTAATTTTATTAGTTTCAGGGCCTGTTTTATATCCTATGCATGTAAATCTGCCAAGAAATCAGATTTATAAGCCGCTGATTAGGTTACTATTCAGATCTCAGTGAAATGTTCCCACCAGAGAAATAATATCAAGAGCATCAAAAATAATGACGGGTTTCTATCGGGTGGTATAAATTTAAACACCACTGGACAACACGTCAGGGTTTTTTTTGCGCTATTTCTGTGCTTTTTGTGTTATTTTCGTAGACACATTTCCACTTTTAGAGCTTACGAGAAATAAAAGTCGTCCAAAAACAGCCAACAAAAGACTAGCATAACTCAGAAATATCTCCAGACGTCTGTGTTTAAATATACTCTTGTGCCAGATTTAACAATCGTCCGCTGTGCTTTTCCTCCGTGAACGTTGCATCATACCGTACAGGTCATCAGATTTTTCCAGACACACTTCTAAAACTGGATTTTGACATCTTCTGAAATGTGAGTGGTGCATGATTGTGCAAAACTCACAACCATGATCATAGGACATCTGCAAGATGCTCAGGTGTTTTAGGCTTGCTTATTGGTCCAAAGAGTCCGGCACCATCAAGTCTCTGTGTTATTCTGGTCTGTGGGATTGTTTCACGTGTTTTATCCTCACTTGTTTCTCTCTCTAGTGGCTCCCATATTGAGAACTGGCACTCAGTTCTGAGAAATGGACTGGTCAATGCCTCTTATACTAAACTGCAGGTATGTAAGTGACATCTCCTCATTGGACAGCTCATCTTTGTCTTGTTTTCCAGAACAAATATCTCAGAATTCTTAAATCAAGATGCATTTACTTCAGAAGCAAAGTGGCATAAGAAGGCTTGTTTTGACTTTATGACTTTATGTGTAAAACAAGAAAAGTATCTACTAATGGGGTCAGAAAAATCAACTTAAAGGTCCCATATTGTCAAAACTGAAATTTCCTGGCTTTTTTCATGATAACTAAGGTCTAGGGGCTATGTAACTACCATATAAGTTTCAAAACAGTCAGTCCACAGTAAAATGCACACAGCCTGCTTAAAGTAGCAGTGATTTTTCACGAACCGTTGTGACTTCCGTAAAAAGTTGACGTCAGAACGACACAGTCACCGCCTTCAGTCACCACCTTAATTCAAAGGGAGAGGTTTATTTTTCTGACTGGTTGATATTTTTCTTGTTTCAAACAAAAGCTCACTTAAGTTAGGGTTAGAAAAAAAATTTTTTTTTGCTGTCATTTTGCATCTTGATTTAAGAATATTTAGATATTTGTACTGGAAAGCAAAACAGAAATGCTAAGAAATAACATCAGTTTTTGCAGCGCAGTGAGAGGCGTCCACTTATAATCTTTGAAATAATAGTTATTTTGCTTTTTTAATCCAATGCATGTTTAATTCTCACTGAATTCTCAATGCTTTCCTCTGTATTTTTGTCTTGTTTTCCAGAACAAATATCTAAACATTCATAAATCAAGATACATATATTTGAAATGCAAAATGGCAAAAGATAGAAAAAATAGTTTTCTGAGAAACTAAAATGAAGTGACTTTATGTTTAAAACAACAAAATATAAGTCAGTGGGGTCAGAAAATTAAACTAAGTTCAAAAGGAAAACTAGTTTTTTTTCTGAATGGTCAATATTTTTTCTTGTTTCAAGTATAAACTTTGGTACGACTTTTTGTGTTTTTATGTTATAATCTTTATTTAAGAATGTTTAGATATTTTTTTCCCAGTGCAATGAGTGGCATCCACTTCATCATCTTGGAAATAAATATTTATTTTGCATTTTTAATCCAAATTAGTGTAAAAAATGTATGAACTTTCGTCAGACTGATCGAATAATGTTGTTACAAATCATGGCAGATTTACTGCTTCGTTCATCACACTGGAAATGGAAGGTCAAGTTGCATTGCATTGTGGGATACACCACATTATGCTAGTATGCAAAAATTAAATGTCGTTCTCAAGCTTTGATTCTTTGCATTTACTGAAGACTTTGAGATCAGTGACGTTTGATGAGGTTTCTAGAGGGTTTGTGTTCAACACTGAAGATGAAGCTTATCAGGAAAACTGAAATAGTTTTTATAAGAGCTTGCCGATGTCATGCTTTTCTCCTGGAAGGATGTCCATCATTTCATTCAGTCGTACAGCTTTAAACTCTCACGAGACTGACCGTTCATCACGCTGTATAATGCATGTTCATGCATCTTCACAGGATCATCATCATCATCCTCACCACCTGACTTCTTTCCTTCATCTCCCACGATGCTTTCTTCTTCATTCATTGACTGCATCCCATCAGACGTCTGTGCTCGTGTCGGCGTCGGTACACAGCTCAGATGTGAACGCGTATCTGCCGTGTTTCTCTTCTTTCACGGGGAGCGTGTGCAGAGCGTGTAACTCTCTCCTCCTCTTCTTCTCTTTCATCAAAGCTGCATGGAGCAGCGTACGGGAAAGGCATCTATCTGAGCCCCATATCCAGTATTTCCTTTGGATACTCAGGTACGATCCAGACCCGCGTCCTCCGTGCTTCGCTGTGGGTTCTTCATCACATCTCAGTCTCTGTCTCTCTGTAACAAACACCTCAGTCTGTTTTCTGATCCATATGAGTGCTTTGTTGAGCTTTTTGTATGTGCTGGAATTGAATGCATCCCATCAGACGTCTGTGCTCGTGTCGGCGTCGGTCCACAGCTCAGATGTGAACGCGTATCTGCCGTGTTTCTCTTCTTTCACGGGGAGCGTGTGCAGAGCGTGTAACTCTCTCCTCCTCTTCTTCTCTTTCATCAAAGCTGCATGGAGCAGCGTACGGGAAGGGCATCTATCTGAGCCCCATATCCAGTATTTCCTTTGGATACTCAGGTACGATCCAGACCCGCGTCCTCCGTGCTTCGCTGTGGGTTCTTCATCACATCTCAGTCTCTGTCTCTCTGTAACAAACACCTCAGTCTGTTTTCTGATCCATATGAGTGCTTTGTTGAGCTTTTTGTATGTGCTGGATTGTTTTTCCTCTTCCACTCTGCAAACAAACATGTTCTTTGTCTTGTTTTGTCTGAAAATATCCTTACAACAAAATACATTTACGAAGCAAAAGAAGCACATTTGTGTAAGACGAGACTTTTTCTAACCTCTTGTTTTAGCCCTAATCTGCTTTACCTTTTGTTCATTTCTTCCACGTAATGCAATGAGTTTCTTCCTCGGTATTTTTGTCTGGTTTTTGCAGAACAAATATCTAAACATTCTTAAATCAAGTAACATTTATTTGAGAAGCAAAATGACTTGACATTAATAGATATCTGAGATATTAAGTCTTGTTTTCTGAAGAATGTAATTGTACAAATGTAAAAAAAAATCTGCCAATGAGGTCAGAAAAATAACGTTTATTTAAAGGGAAAACAAGATTATTTTTCTGACCCCATTGGGGTCTTTTTTAAGCAAAAAGTCACTTAATTTTGATCTGTTTTTCATAGACTTATTATCTAATGGCATTAGTAATTGCATCTTAATTTAAGAATGTTTAGATATTTTTACTGGAAAACTGAAAAAGAAAATCTCGGGGTAAAAAATATTTAAAATCATAATAAAAAAAATATTAATTTATTATTATTATTAATTTTCTAAAAGCAAATCATAAAATCTCATGCAATGTTACTTCTCAAGTAACGTTTTTTAAACTGGAAAACAAGTCAAATCTGACTATAATCTGACTATAAAACAAGAAATACTGACCAAAAATAAAAATAAAAGATTTTTGCAGTGTATAAACACTGTGTCACAAGTCGAGGTCCAGTCTGATCTCACATGTTTCCATCAATGAAAAATGAGCTCTGTAGCAGACGCTTAAACCTACCGATCAAACTAAACACCACAAACATCATGGACCAGAAGACTGGATAATGTTTTCACCTACAACAGCAACTCAGTCTAGTTAATAGCTGGGTATTAATTGCATGTAGAAAAATGACCAAATTACCAATTACAAAATCAACCAACCAACACACCTCTGTTAATAATATGGCTGTCAAAAAAGTCCACATAATGTATAAATAATAAATTCTAGAAAGAACTATACTGAATACATAGATAAATTGCTTTATATTCTAAGAAAAAAAAAGTGTTTGAATGCAAGTTACATAAAAACTCTCAGTGGAAACATGGACCAATTCTGTTCTGGCCTCATTTGTGACCCTGGAGCACAAAACCAGTCATAAGGGTCAATTTTTCTGAAATTGAGATTTATGCATCATCTGAAAGCTGAATAAATAAGCTTTCCATTGATGTATGGTTTGTTAGGATAGGACAATATTTGTGACCATTTGAAAATCTGGAATCTGAGGGTGCAAAAAAAATCTAAATATTGAGAAAATCATCTTTAAAGTTGTTCAAATGAAGTTCTTAGCAATGCATATTACTAATCAAACATTAAGTTTTGATATATTTACGGTAGGAAATTTACAAAATATCTTCATGGAACATGATCTTTACTTAATATCCTAATGATTTTTGGCATAAAATAAAAATCTATAATTTTGACCCATACAATGTATTGTTGGCTATTGCTACAAATATCCCCCAGCGACTTAACACTGCTTTTGTGCTCCAGGGTCACATTTGAGCACCAGCACTGGAAAAGGGATGAATGTAAGATCAAATGTTGATTGATTGATTGATTGATTGATTTTATTTCTGTGTGTGTGTGTGTGTGTGTGTTCAGGAATGGGAAAGGGCCAGCATCGCATGCCCACTAAAGATGAGTTAGTCCAGCGATATAATCGAATGAACACAATGCCACAGGTACGACAGAAGCATTAAAAACATGTGATCTGTGCTCGGCTCTCAGAGGAGTAAATGTGAGTTATTTGTCCTTCAACAGAGTCGTCCCATACAGTCGCGGTTCCTCCAGAGCAGGAATATAAACTGCATCGCTCTCTGTGAAGGTAAAACATCTGAGATCTCACCTGCTCTAACAATTCACAATTCACTCAGTTTAGTTTGAATATATATTGCTTAGTGAATTCCCTCGTGTGTGCTGAAATTCTGTTTCTCAACCAACCTCTTACACATGAGATGATTGTGTTTCTGTGTTGACAGTGATCACGTCCAAAGACCTGCAGAAACATGGCAACATCTGGGTGTGTCCGGTGTCTGACCACGTCTGCACACGCTTCTTCTTCGTGTGAGTATCTGTCTACGGAAGCCTTAAGAGGCCATGCATTTCTTTTTTCTTGTTTTCTTCTGATCGCAACTTAATTTTCTTGTGAACCCGACATAACAAAAGCTTGTTTTCTCGTGATCTTGACATAAAAAACTGGCTGTTTTCTGGCGATCCAGACACAGAAGTTGTTTTCTCGTGATCGGGATTCAATTTTCTGTGCACTAGAATAAAATAACAAATAATAATAAAACTGTGTATTTTTAGTATCATTATTTTAGTTTAGTTTAGTTTTTATATTTTCCGTTTTCATTTTAATTTTACTTAAAGTTGTATTAATTTTGTTGTTGGGATTTTTTGGTAGTTTTTCTTTTTCTTATATGTCTGTATAATTTTATAAATTTTTATTTCAGTTTTAGTTTTAGTTATTTTAATGCATCAAGTTCAACTAAATTAAAGTGAAAAATGTTGCCTTGGCAGCTAGCTGAAATTTTTTATATTTAATTTTATTTTGGTTCATTTTCATTTTATTTCAAGAAACGGAAATGTGTTTTAAATGGTTTTAAATGTGTTTTAACTACAAGTTAACTACAATAGCACTGAACAATAAAAACAAAACAAAAACTTTTTTTGTGTGTATTTTCTTTTTTATGTGATTAATCTACAGCAAAAATACAGCACTCTTAATAGGCAAACGCCTGAGGTAATTCATTAATTAATTAGTGCTGTTGTTGGATAATGGGTCGGTGTTGATGTCGAGATGACAAGAAACAACTATTTTACTATTTTGTAATCATGAAAACAACTCATGTTATGTCGAAAACTCGAGAAATCCACTATTTTGTAATGTCGAGATAACAAGAAAAAATGAAATTCTTCCTCAGTATTTTTGTCTTGTTTTCCAGCACAAATATCAAAACATTCATGAATCAAGAAACATTTACTTGAGAAGCAAGATGACAATTTAAGTCTTTTTTCCTGCATCAAATGCATCAAAATATCTTCCAGTTGGGCAAAAATTAACTTCATTCAAAGGGAAAACAAGATTATTTTTCTTTTCCCACTGGCAGATTTTTTCTCATTTTAAGCAAAAACTCAATTTTGATAATTTTTTTCAGAAAACAAGACTTCTTATTTTATGTCATTTTGTAAATGTATCTTGATTTAAGAATGTTTCGATATTTGTACCGGAAAACAAAACAAAAACAATGAAGAAAAAAATTACTTTTGCAGTGATTTTATCAAAAATAAAGTAAATAGAGTATATATAGAAATACACAAAGCACAGACATATGTATTATAGATAACCTATGCACAGATATTATTATAGATATGTGGAAGGGGGAAAAGTGCACAAAAATTGTGACATGCACAGGCGGTCTGATAAATGATTGAATTTACATATTGCACAGTGGTTAATTAGTTACCAGTAGTTACTAGTGTTATTTTTAGTATTATTTATGTACTTTTATAGTATTTATTCATAGCTTTTTATGTTTTTAGTTTTCATTTTGTTATGTGCTTTTGTCATTTTCATTCTCTTTTTAATTTCTGCATTTAGCTTTATTTTTTATTTCAGATTTAGTTTTTGTTATTTTAATATTTTATTTCAGTTAGTCGCCAAGACAACATTTTTCATTTGTTTTTGATATTATGTTATATTTTGTTTTATTTCAGCTTTATTGCAATTAACGAAAACGATTTTAATAGTTTCAGTTAACAATAATAGGCTACTGTCAAGCGAAAGCTGCTTACAAAGCATTAATATTGTAGTATTCAAGTATAACATTTGTGACCCTGGAGCACAAAACCAGTCATAAGGGTCAATTTCTCGAAATTGAGATTTATATATCATATATTGTTTTAATGTGATCTGTGTGTGTCAGGTATGAGGACGGTCAGGTGGGAGATGCTAACATTAACACACAGGAGCCCAAGATCCAGAAGGAGATCATGCGTGTGATCTGCACCCAGATCTACTCCAGCTGAAGAGCTGTCCTGCAGAAACGGCCGTGACGGACACATTTCTGGGCTCCAAACTCACCCAGGGGCGCCGTCTTTCCTCGACTCTACTCCATCTGTGCTCTCTTTAATCCTGTCTTTCACATGGGATGCCAGATGAGGGAAAACTTCATGATAAGCCCCGCCCACAACCCTTTGACTTCCCACAGAGCCGCTGTCAGTCAAAAGCAGACCGGCGCCTGATTGGACGAGACGGTCAGCCAATGAACTCGCATCTGTCGCTCGTTTTCTCTTTTTCACGGATCGTTTCTCACACTAAATATCTAAACACGTAAAAACATGTTTATTGCAGTTTTGTCCGTCTCTGGATAGTAAATGATGAATCTGTGCGCTTTATTGTGTTCGTATCTTCTTCATCTTTCTCCTCCGCTGCTCTTTCTGACTGATGACTTTTATTAATATCCCAGATGTTTTTATCTCGGAGTTTCCTGCTGAAATCAATTTCCTGTCTTTTGTTGCTGAGCTCCACTTACATGTGTACGAACACTCACATTGATTTATCGCCCGACAGAACGCGGATGAGAGGACAGGGACGCGTCGTTACTCGTGTTTATACTTATATCTTCTGGATAGAGTCGTCGTGACGCCGTTTTGGTGCCGTCATCCGATGGGACGCGCGAGCTGAAGCCAGAGACGCTTTTATCTCCATTCTCAGACATTCCCGAGTGCTTGTGGGTAATTTCCACAAAGCCTGCAGAGGGATGACGTACAGTAGCAGTCAAACATTTGGAAACATTATTTATTCTGACTATTTTCCACAATAATAGTAAAGTGTGCAAACTCTGAAATCACACAAATGGAAGTCAAAACTCGTTTAAGGTTAACATTAAATTCAAGTTGCAACCGCCTCTTCTTCCCTGTTGTGATCAAAGTTTGAAATGAACTTTATCACTTATTTATAGGCTATAGCATATTTCGTGCACTGTGGTCATTCATAGTGCTTTATATAAAAAGGATTCAAAATAATCATAAAATGATCACAATTGATGCATGATGCATAAAAAAGCATGCATAATAAATAAAAAAAATAACAACAACAAAGGCAAAGAATAATTTTATTAAAACCATTAAGAATAAAAAAAAGTTACAAGCCATTCAGAACAATCCAAGACAAAAATATCAGTGATAAACCAGATCTTAGATTTAAATATATTTATTATTAAACCTGATTCTGAATCATTAAAGATTTATGACAGTCGATCATTGTTTACAGAAACCATAAAAATTGATTAAAATAAAATTCTCAAATTCTCAGCTACTTCACAGTATTTCTTTTGTTGCATTTGTTTTTTTATTTAATTTTTAAAAATGGATTTGAATTTTAGAGACGTGCCGCTTTCACCATCTTTACGCCTTGTTTTACTAATATTGGAAAACATAATTTACATAACCTGCCAATATGGCTGGTGAGTTATGTGTTAACCGGCATGGTTAATTTTCACCTGTATTTGGCAGGTGTTGCATTGATAAATCTCTTATACAATATTCCATAAAAAATAAGAATCGGCAATTAAAAAAAAAAAAGAGTAAGAGAAAGAGAATTTCCTTTCAGTCATTTAAGCAGATGTTTTTAGGATCATTTTAAACATAAATGCAGTCTTTTATGTCCAAATGTTCGTCTGCTGGTGTGTCTCCTTATTCTGTTGGTTCTCTCTGACTGTTTCTCGTCCCGGAGCCTTTGTGAGATGGTAAATGATCTTGTGGCTTTATTTGAGGGTGTTGCACTGATTCTCTCATGCACCTTTTCTTCTGGATCTGTGTTGGACATGCAGGCTGTAAATAATGAAGATCGGACCGGAGGGATGCTCTCTGGATCTGGTTTCTATTGATTGTGATGTTCAACAGACCCGTCAGATCTCCTGCGGTTGTACAGGTGGAAAGATGCTGAGCTGAATAAATAAAGAGAGATTTTACACAATTTTAGGTGCTTGATTTCCCTCTTGCCTTCATTAATAGAGATGTGTTTTCTGCATGCAGTGGCGTCTTTTTTACACCAGGTGGCGCTTTTGCTTCACTTCACTCACCTTGACAAACATTTGCTATGAATGTCACACTAGCAATAGATTCTCAGGTAATTCTGGGGGATATTTTGTAATATTCAGTTCATGTGCAGCATTAGATTAGAAATATCCGATTCTCTCTGCTGCACAGTCTTCATTCATTCATTCATTATTTAAAGTTTTTGTGCATCAATCTAGTGAGCAACTCATATATCAGCGATGCGACAGAAATGCATCAGTTCAATCAGCGAGTAATACACTTACTTTACAGCTATTTTGAATGGATTTTCACTAAATATTGTGTAAATATTGTATTAGTAAATTTATTTAGTAAAATATTGTAGTAAAACAGCATTTAAAAAAAATAATAATTCAGATATTTTCGAGTGGATTTTCACAAAATTTTGTGAAATTAAATATTAAATAAAATGTTCTTAGTTTAAATTGTAAAGTAAAAATAGTATCATTTGGTTAGTAAAAAAACTGTAGTAAAAACTTTTTTTTTTTTTTTTAGCAAATCAGATTTTCAGATTTTTTAGTGAATTTTCAATAAATATTGTTTATACACACACACACACACATA